CCCTCCCTTCTCCCTCCCCCTCCCCTCCTCCCCTTCCCTCTCCCTCTCTCCCTTCTCCCCCTCCTCTCTCCTCCCCCCTCCCTCTCCCTCCCCTCCCCCTCACCTAGAGTCTTCCTGATGAGGTACAGCTGATCGACGTCCGACTTCCCCGGCCAGAGCGCCTCGCCCCGCACGAGCTCCGCCATAACGCATCCTATGGCCCACACGTCCACCGGGGGCCCGTACTGCGTGTCCCCCACCAGGAGCTCGGGGGCGCGGGTACCACCGGGTCGCCACGTAGTCGTGTAGTTCTCGCCCGGGCCTGCGGAGGGAGGGGGGGGGAGGTTAAGGGGTTGAGGCAGAGGCGGCGTCCAGTCCAGTGATAGTAACAATGATAATAACATTATTATTATTTCTACTATTATTATTATAATAATTTTCATCATTATCATTATCATCATGATGATAATGATGATGACTGCTATTATCATTATTATTATCATTATCACTATCATCATTGCTATTGTTACCATTATCATTATTATTATAATTATTATTATCACCATTACATTATTATTATTATACAAGTATACTATTATCATCATCATCATCATTATCATTAGTAGTAGTAGTAGCATCAGTAGAAGCAGCACTTTATTATTATTATCATTATTATATTATTTTATTATTATACATTATTATTATAGTATTATCATTTTATTATTAATTAATACTCATTATCATTATTATCATTATTATCATTATCATTATTATCAGCAGCATTTTTTATATGAAATAACAATATAAGAACAACGAATCATTTGATATGCAAAACAATAAATATTATTCGATGAAAGTAAATAATAATATTAATAATAAAATAAAATCCATACTTAATCAGAGAATGACATAAATGAGACTAAATGATATGTATTTCTAAAAAAACAAAGCTCTGCGGACCTCTTCTCTCCTTTTGCTTCTTCCTCCCTTTCCCTCTACTTTTTTCCTTTTCTCTCCCTTTCTCCAGGTCTTTTCCCCTCTCTATCTCCTCGTTTTCTTTTACCTCCCTTTCTCTCCGTGTTCTTCTCTCCCTCTCCCTCTCCTCTTTTCATTTTCTCTCCCTTTCTCTCCGTCTTCTTCTCTCCCTCTCCCTCCTCTTTTCCTTTTCCCTCCCTTTCTCCATGTCTTCTCCCTTCTCTCTCCCTCTCCTATTTTTGTTTTTCCTCCCTTTCTCTCCGTCTTCTTCGCTCCCTTTTCATCTCCTCTTCTCATTTTCTCTCCCTTTTCTCTCCGTCTTCTTCTCTCCCTCTCCTTTTCTCTCAATCTCCCTCCCCTTTTCGCACTTATTTACTCTCTCGCCATTCCTTCCATTCTCTCCGGTTTCCTCGCTTCTTCTTTCCTTCCCTCTATCTCTGCCTCTCCTTTTCTATCTATCCCTTTTTTCGTTTGTCTGTCGTTCTCTCTCATTCTCTCCTGACTCCTTCCCTTTCTCTATCTCTTCTGCCTCTCCTTCTCTTCCTGCATTTTCATTTTCTTTCCCTGTTTTAACTCTCTTTTCCTCCCATCCACTTCTCCAGCTCATTCTTCCTCTCCCTCTCCCTCTTTTTTTTCTTTACCCTCCCTCCCTTCTCATCTTCTTCCCCCTCCCCTTCCCCTCTCCCTCCTACCTCTTCCTCTGCCACTTTACCTCTTTCTCTCTCTCTCTCTCACCCTACCCACTCGCCCAACCTCCCTCTATCTCTCCCCACTACCTCTCTTTCCCTCTTTCTACCTTTTCCTCTCTCCTATTCTCTCCCTCTTCCTCCTTTTGCCTCTTCTCTTTCCCTTTATCTCCTTCTCCCTCTTTTTTCCTTCCTCCCCACTTCTCTTTTACCTCCCTCTCCTATTTTTCTTCCTTCCCCTCCCTCCATTCTCCTCTTCTTCCCCTCCCCCTTCCCCTCTCCCTCTTTTCTCTGCCACTTTACCTCTCTCTCTCTCTCCTCTCTCTCTCTCTCTCTCTCTCTCTCTCTCCTCTCTCTCTCTCTCTCTCTCTCTCTCTCTCTCTCTCTCTCTCTCTCTCACCCTACCCACTATCCCAACCTCCCTCTACCTCTTCCTCTCTCCCAATCTCGCTCATTCTCTCCCGACTCCCTTCTCTCTCTCTCTCTCTCTCTCTCTCTCTCTCTCTCTCTCTCTCTCTCTCTCTCTCTCTCTCTCTCTCTCTCTCTCTCTCTCTCTCTCTCTCTCTCTCTCTAACTCTTCCTCTCTCCCAATCTCCCTCATTCTCTCCCGAATCCTTTTCTTTCCCTCCCTCCCTCTCTCTCTTTCTCTCTCTCCCTCTTTCTCCCCACGAACTCACTGAGCATTCTAGCGAAGCCGAAGTCACACAGCTTGACGACATCTTCCTTGGTCAGAAGGATGTTCTCTGGCTTGACGTCTCTGTGGATGCAGGAGGCGGCGTGGCAGAACTTGACGGCTTGGACCAGCTGGTAGATGATGCGCTTCGTCTTGTGTTCGGGGCAACTGCGGGAAGGAAAGGGGGGGGGGTAGTGATGTGAATATGATCCGTACATACAGTTCTGGATGTTTGTCTGTGTGCCTGTTAATATCTTTCTCTCTGTCTGTCTGCCTGTCTGTCTGTTTCTGTCTCTTTATCTCTCTCTCTCTCTCATATATGTATATATGTGTGCATAATGAATATATATGTATGTATATATGTTGTTTATGTTTGTATGTAGGTTTGTACATATACATGTACGTATGCATTTGTATATGTATGTATACATGTATGTATATGTATGTATGTAGGTTTGTACATATGTATGCACGTACGTATTTGTGTATATACGTATGCATGTATGTATTCATGTATGCATGTGTGCATGCATGTATGTATGTATGTTTTTATGTATATGTATGTATGTATTATGTATGTCTGTTTTTTTGTGTATGAATCTATGTACAAAAGCAAACATATTCACGTATATGATATACTGAAAACATTCCCGTGCACCAACCCTTTGGGGTGTTTCTCCAGCTCGTTGAGGACGGTGTGGTCGCAGAATTCGAAGACGAGGTGGAGTTTCCTCTTCCTCCTGAACACCTCGATGAGATTGATGAGGTTGGGATGCTTTAGTTGCTGCAAATAGAAAGGCCGAAGTGTTATTGCGTCTCTGGCTTTGGATTGCCTCGTCGCCTAAAGATTACAGGTTTTATTTCTTTTCGTGGAAATAAGTGAAGGTTTGGTGTAAGTTTTCCCATTATATTTCGGGTGAGTGACGACTTCCCTCTATTCTCGTGCGTCATGGCTGGAATTGCCTCGGTTGAATTTCATACCAAAAATACCAGCGACTCTGCAGGGGGCATCCTAACAGCCCCAGCTACACCAGCATTCCCATTAAAGTTCCCACAACAAACATTACAATAATTGCCAAGTTAAGCCGTCTCCCCCTGCCCAGCATAGCCCTACCCTCCCCCTGCCACATACACGTGTCATCCCTGCTCCACAGCCTTAGTGTGCCGTGGCAGGGATGGCGTGTGTGCCCGGTGTTGTGTTGTTTAATGGCAGGATTGCATGGCACCAGCGAAGGGACCCTGTCTGCCTCCCGCTCTCTCTGCCTGCCTCTGCCTCCCCAGCCCGCTTCGCCTTTATTATGTCCCTCGTGATCAATTTTCTTGCTACTTCTTCCTGCCTCTTACTTCTTCTATTTCCTTTTTTACTAGATTTTTTTCTCTCTCTCCCTTCGTCTGCTTCCTTCGCGAGCGGGTCTGCATCTCCTCTCAGTTCCCCGAATGCTTCGCTTTATTTTGTCTCCCGTGATCGCTTCCCTTGCTACTTCTTTCTGCCTCTTCCCTCTTCTGTTCCTTTATTGGGCCTGCTTCTCCCTCATCCTCCCTGCCTGCATTGCTTTTGTCTCTCTCTCTTTCCATTGCCTCTTCCTTATTCCGCCGGCCCCCCTTTTTTACCGAGTCTCATGCAAGTGCTTTATTCTTGTCACGATTCACCCTTTTCTCTCCTGAATGTTTTATCGCCCTTCCGCTTCTCCTTTCCTCAATCTGCCCCTTTCTCCTTCTGTCTGTTTCTTCTGTTTCTTCATCTGCTTCGAGCCATCCTACGTCCTCTCTCTTGCCTTTCTCTTTCTCCTTCTATTCCATTTTACAAGCTCCTTATTTCCTTCTATATCTAATTATAGCCGAAAATCTAGGAAAAAATGCTTCTTGAATTTTGTTTCGACTTTTAGCTGTGGTTATTTTTTCGAAGCTTTATTCATACTGCAGAACTTTTGCCCGCACTTGTACCTACTTCGTTCAACTTATTCTCCCATCTTATACATTTTACAAAATTCCGTCCTGTTCTTTTCTCCCCAGACTCCGAATCTCAGCTCAGAATCGCATCGATATCAGTCCTCTTTAATTTTAATACTTTAATATCAATTTTAATACTTTAATACTTTAATATTTTCATCTCAGATCCTCGACGGACTCAATCGTCTTTTTGGTTCATCCTGCGCATCCTAAATCTTCGTCTTGTGATACTTTATACTTTTTTTTTCCTGTGACGTTAAATTCCTGTCTGACTCTAATGCCGTCTATACTTATATTCCGAGTCCATTCTTGACTCACTCCCTTGACTCACCCTTCCCGCCTTGTCAATTCACTCTGATTCTCCTTCACCTACTCTTTAACTTAGTCACTTCTCGACTCACCCTCTCCACTTTACTCACTCCCTTACTCCTCTTCCTACTTTATTCCTTGCTCTGTCTCTCCCTCCCCACCTCCCTGACTCCTCCCCCGCCCCCTTCCCTCCCCGACTCCTCCCTCCCTTTGCTCCCTCACCCCTCGCCCTCACCTTGAGCATGCGTATCTCCCTGAGCGCGATCTTCTTGATGAGGGGGTCGTCCTCAGACTCGACGAACTTCTTGATGGCGACCAGCTGCCCCGTCTCCCGGTTGCGGCACTTGTAGACGACGCCGTACGAGCCCTCTCCGATCTTGCTCAGCTTCTCGTACTTCTCCATCAGGCGCGAAGACACCCGGGATCGCCTGCGGGGGAAGGGGATACGGGCTTAAGAAACTGTTTACTTTTTTTTTTTTTACTTTACTTTTCGTTTTGTTTTGAGTCGGGATTGTCTGTGGATGAACGGGGAATGAAAATGTTTTTCTCTCCTTTTTTTATGGGGGCTTTTGTGTTTATTTTCTTCTTTTTTTCCCTTTTAGGGGGGTGATGCCTGCGGGCAGTGAGGGACACGAGCATAGATAATTATCTTTTTTCTCTGTTTTCATTTTTGGGGGGTGGGGGTAGGGGTGTGTGTATGCTGCATTTACTTTATGTTTGGTCTTAATCCTGACATTGCACAGGATGGTATATTTCTGTTTTGCTTTTTTGTGTTTATCATTATCATTCATCATGATTATCACTTTTGTGTTACCATTGCCTTGCTTTCCTGTGTGTGTATTCGTTCTTATCTTCTCTTAGCTTGCCTTTGTTCTGATTCAGAATCGCCTGCGGGCCAAGGTCGGGGGGGGGGGGAGATTAGAGTTTGTTTTGGTTTTCGTTTCCGTTTTCTTTCTCTAAGCCTTTGTCTTGCTCCGTGCGCGTGTGCGTTTATTGCGTGGGAGATACTCTTTTTTTATTTTTTTTATTTTTTTTTGCTTGGTAATATTTTTGGTTTCCAGCTTGATCGTTTTTTTTCTTTCTTTTTTTTTTTTGTCTTTTTTGTCTAAGCAACGGGTAAGATAAGCGAATTCTGAATTAATTTCCTAGGAGAGGATGCACACACACACACACACACACACACACACACACACACACAAGCACTAGCACGCACACTCACACACACACACATACATACACGCACATATATATATATACATATACATACACACACATACACACACACACACACACACACACACACACACACACACACACATATATATATATATATACATATATATATATATATATATATCTGAGAGAGAGAGAGAGAGAGAGAGAGAGAGAGAGAGAGAGAGAGAGAGAGAGAGAGAGAGAGAGAGAGAGAGAAGAGAGAGAGAGAGAGGAGAGGGAGGGAGGGAGGGAGGAGGGAGGGAGGGAGGGAGGGAGGGAGAGGAGGGAGGGAGGGAGAGGGAGGGAGGGAGGGAGAGAGAGAGAGAGAGAGAGAGAGAGAGAGAGAGAGAGAGAGAGAGAGAGAGAGAGAGAGAGAGAGAGAGAGAGAGAGAGAGGAGAGAGAGAGAAAGAAAGAAAGAGAGAGATCCTATTTTCCGTAGTTCCAAATAACCAATAAATAGATTAATAAAAAAATAGATGAGTAAGATGATGATTGATAAAAAGGTTTATCCCAAATCAAACCCTGGCCAACGTTATTCGGGGTTCGTAGTTCCAGCTGCCGATAATGTATGTAATGCACACTTTATTGCACCTAATATCGTGTTCATGTTCACTCATGTTCTTTTTTCTTGTTTTGCTGTATTTTTGTTTGATTTGAAGAATTTGTTCTTGTTGGGGTTAGGCATGTAAGAGATGTGGTATGACCTTGGTTGTACATGCCGTTCCGTAAGACCTTAATTTTGCATGACTTCATATATTTGACCTTAATTTTGCATGGTTTTACATTTTACATTTTACCTTGAATTTTCGTGACGTTAACTATGACCACGATTTCGTATGACTAAATCTGACCTTGATTTTGCATAGCTTGAAATATGACCTTGATATTGTATGACCTTAAGAATGACCATGGCTTTGCATGACCTTTGATATGACCTTGATTTTGTATGGCAGGTATAACCTGGAATCTACGTAACCTTAGATAACCCCCTTGATTTTATATGACCTAACATAGGACCTTTATTCTGCACAATCTTGGATATGCCCGAGGTTTTGCATGACTTGTTTGGGTGTTCTTCACCTCTTTTTCTTATTTTCTTCTTGTTTTTATTTAGCTTCAATTTGGCTCATCCTCTGATTGCTTACTCTGCATGCGTGTGCGTCCTCGCGTGTGAACTCAGCCACACACACGCACGTCAACCCTCTCTCAGAATTATCGCCCAGCACCCACGAGGCACTGCACACTCCTGTGAGCCGTCCTTCGTTTAACTGCCGCTCAGTGACGTGAGAACTGCCACCCCGAGAACGAGAGTGGAAGTTTCCATCTATCGCCAGGAAGTTACGTTCAACATTACAATGGCAAGAGGTTTATCTATTTATTCTTTTTTTTTTTTTTTTTTTTTTTTTTGGGGGGGCTGGGTTGCCTATTAATTGCAGTGACTTTGTTTCCTTAGATATTTGTGGATTTGGTTTCAAGCCTGCTGTCTACTTCGGACTTTATACACGATAAGTAACTGATTGCTGAAAGGGACCCCTATTATAAATGTGCATCACCTATATGCAAATAATTATTTAAAAAAAACTAATCTACTGTTTATTCATATGATAAATGAGTATATAGCGTCTCATAGAAATGTACACAAAACGATTAAATAAAAAATGCAGACAATGAATACTAAAACACAACAAAACTATAAATAGAATATGTGTAAA